TTATAGCATTTATGATGTTTCTGCTGGGAAATGACTGTCATTTTTTATTTATTTTTTACTTAAACACTTTGCTGAAGTAAAAGTATTTTCACACTCAAAGCACATGTACTCTCTCACACCAGTATGTATTTTCTGATGTTCTTTCAAATGTTCTAGATGTGAACAACTCTTTCCACACAACGAACATGAATGTGGCTTCTCCTTTGTATGAACTTTCAGGTGACTCTTCAGGTTTGAAGCCCACAAAAATGTTTCCCCGCATTGATCACATGTGTACAGTTTCTCTCTAGTGTGGATGTTCATTTGCTGCATTGATCACATGCGTACAGCTTCTCTATAATGTGGATGTTCATGTGATCCTTCAGGGTTGATGATTGTGTGAAACTCTTCCCGCACTGATCACAAGAGAACGGCTTCTCTCCAGTATGAACTCTCATGTGCTCTGTAAGGTTTCCTTTTGTGAAGCTCTTCCCGCACTGATCACATGTGTACGGTTTCTCTCCAGTGTGGATCCTCTCGTGTGTTTTCAGGAATCCTGACTGAGTAAATCTCTTGTCACAATGTGAACATTTGTACCGTTTCTCACCAGTGTGGATATTGATGTGTTTCTTAAGGCTTGATGATTGTCTGAAACTCTTCCCGCACTGATCGCATGTGAACGGTTTCTCTCCAGTGTGGATCCTCTCGTGCATTTTCAGGTGTGCTGATCGACTGAATATCTTGTCACAGTGTGAACACTTGTATAGATTTTCTCCAGTGTGGATTTTCATGTGATCCTTAAGGCTTGATGATTGAATGAAGCTCTTTCCGCACTGATCACATGTGTATGGTTTCTCTCCAGTATGAACTCTCATGTGAACATCAAGATGATATTTGCTTGACAAACTCTTTCCACACTGAGTGCAGGTGAAACATTTCTTGGCTCTTCTTTTCTTTAAATCCTTCTGTTTGGTTTGAGAGCAACTCAAAGGTTTTTCTCCAGGTTTCTCCTCAACTTCACTCAGTTCTTCATTCTCCTTGGTTTCTTTAATCAACTCTAAATTAAAAGTAAAAGTAAAGTTTCAGTAACTCTCAGTAACCCTGGTGAACCCAGATGTAACAGTGTAAAAGTAGACAATTGCTATGCCACATTTTGGTCATTTTGATGCATTTTTGTAAATTATACATCACTGAAACTCGCCATGAATGAGATACATTGATATTCCAATTAT